GGTCCTCTGACATGATTTTTCATAATATGTTGTGAAAAAAAATAAATAATTACAGCCCCCTTAGGCAGCTTCAGTAGAAAATTTGATATGTTCTGCCATTTGCCTGCTTCATGCTGCTCCGTTCTAAGACTGGTTATGGTGATCCATACCTGAGTCCTTGCAGCCCTAGTATGCTGTTTGAAACAGTAGCAATAGCAGACTCCAAAGAAAAGTTCAGTGGAGCAAATGTATTGGATACTTTGCTTATAACACTCAAACAGTCTTTTACTCTTTTCAATCCAAAGATTTTTCTGAGCCTGGTCGGGTTTATCTACTTAGTATAACCCTCAATAAATCTTTCTCCCAAGTACTTTCCAATTCTTTTCTTGAACATAAGTAAGCTTTATGCATTCAAGTGTTCAGGAGTCCATTAGTTGGAAAACCATTTTCTTTTGTTTGCTGTTGAATCTGACTTCTATAAGCTTAATTCAGTGGCCAGTAGCTCTTTTTTGGAAGAGAGAATGACCAATTTGTTCACTATCTCCATGCAGCTTGTGATTTTTCTAGATAATTTCTGTACCCTCTAGAGGTTAATATATGTTGGGATTTGTTTGGTTTTTTTTATGGATACTGCCTATCCTTTTCTCTTTAAAATTTGAAGAAAAAAAAAAAAAGAAAAAAGAGGCATCTTAGTCCTTACTAATATTTTTGGTAAAAATAAGTTGAAGTAATTCATGTTTTCATTTGAAGACACAGAAGTCAGTCCTTCAAAGTTAGGATAGACTTTTATATACAGATACTTGGCTTTCGTGAATTCCCTTCTTTCACTGAGGATAACATATACAATTCTATTACAATCATATTTCATTGCATATTTTTTCTCAGAACCTTTTCTTTTGATTTAAAATCATGGCTCTCATGCAATTATAGTATAATATCATACTGCCCTTTTATTGTTGTTCTTATGTCACCAGCTTTAGGCACTGATCCACTTAAGCACTTATGAACAGTGATAAATCCATTCATATTCTGATAACCATTTTACACTGTTCAAGATTTCATTTTGTCCAGACTTTTTTCTAAAGTCAATATGTAATCCTTGCACAATGCAAGGACAGCTAATTCTGTTGTCTAAAAGTAGATACAGGATCTTTCCCCGCCCCCCCCATAATTGTTTTCCTTCAGTATCCAGTGAGGAAATTCCTGAGAACTGTATGTCTTCATCTGCTGGCAAGTGCAAATCCAAATTGTTAGGTGTGATTAGTGTCTTAAAATGTGCCTCTTTTGTCATGTTTTCCTTCTGTATTCAACTTTTCTGACTTTAAAGAAGTGGTGGGAAGAGTTCAGGATAAAAAGAAGTCCCGTTTACCTGTCCATATATTTAAATATTAATTAAAACTAAGCCTAAAGCTTTTTGCATTTCTGATTCTGAACTACCAGCTTTGTTTGCATTAAGTTCATTTTTTGCATTTCCAGGAAGATAAGTTGCAGTCTTCCTTATGTTGTATAGGATTCCTTCTTATGTATGAACACTGCTGTTCCTTACCTCTTAGCTGTCCTTTAAATCCATGTTGTTCCTTTCAGGTTCATAGAAGACATACAAAAAAACATTGAACAAGAACTTATTCGGTAACTTCTGGGGATTCATTTTCTTAATAGAATACTACCATGAGTTGTTTTGGAACTTGACTGTGTGTAATAGTTGACATCCAACATCTGTGGGTAAGAATTAAGGGGCAAGCAGGTGCGGGTGACACAGTTGTGGGGGTCTACTACAGATTGATGATAACTTCTTAATGCAAATGGTGGACAAGCCGACTAGAAGAGGAGCGCTGCTGGATCTTGTACTAACCAGCAAGGAGGGCCTTGTTGAAGCAGTGGTGGTCAATGGCAGCCTTGGCTGCAGTGATCATGAGATGATGGAGTTCAGGATCCTGTGTGGAAGGAACAAAATACCCAGCAGGACCAGAACCCTGGACTTCCACAGGGCAAACTTTGGTCTCCTCAATCATCTATTAAGGGAAATCCCATGGGACAGGGTACTAGAAGATAAAGGGGCTCAAGATAGCTGGTCAACATTCAAGGACCACTTCTTGCAAGCACAGGATCAGAGCGTCCCAATGGTTATGAAATCTAGTAAGGGTGCTAGGAGACCTGCATGGTTAAAGAAGGAACTACTGGGCAAACTTAAGTGGAAAAGGAAAATCTACAGATCATGGAAGGAGGGGCTGGTCACTTGGGAGGAATATAGGACTGTTGTCAGAGGATGTAGGGAGGCAATTAGGAAAGCTAAGGCCTCCTTGGAACTTAACCTTGCAAGTCAGGTTAAGGATAATAGAAAGGGCTTTTTCAAATACATAGCTAGCAAAACTAGCAATAGAGGCAATATTGGCCCATTGAGGAATGAGGTGGGAGCCCTGGTGACAGAGGATATAAAGAAGGCAGAGGTGCTGAATGCCTTCTTTGCCTCTGTCTTCACTCCTGCAGGGTCTCCCTATGAGCCCCAGATTCATATAGCCCCAGAAGAAGTCAAGATAGAGGAAGAGTTTGACATGGTAGATGAGGATTGGGTTAGGGATCAGTTGAGTAATCTGGACATCCATAAATCAATGGGTCCAGATGGAATGCACCCAAGGGTGCTGAGGGAGCTGGCGGAGGTCATTGCTAGGCCACTCTCCATCATCTTCAGTAAGTCATGGGCAACAGGTGAGGTGCCTGAGGACTGGAGGATAGCAAATGTCACTCCAGTCTACAAGAAGGGCAAGAAGGAGGACCCGGGTAACTATAGACCGGTCAGCCTCACCTCCATCCCTGGAAAGGTGATGGAACAACTTGTTCTTGGCACTATCTCCAGGCACATCAAGGACATGGGGGTCATCAAGAGCAGTCAACATGGTTTTATCAAGGGTAAATCATGTTTGACTAACCTCATAGCCTTCTATGAGGAAATTACTAGGTGGATAGATGATGGTAGAGCGGTAGATGTGGTTTATCTTGATTTCAGTAAAGCATTTGACACCGTCTCCCACAGCATCCTTGTAGAAAAGTTGATCAGGTATGGGTTTGGTGATCAGGAAGTGAGGTGGATTAGGAACTGGTTGAAAGGAAGGAGTCAGAGAGTTGTAGTCAATGGGGAAGAATCTGGTTGGAGGTGTGTGACTAGTGGAGTCCCACAGGGGTCGGTACTGGGACCGGTGTTGTTCAACATCTTCATCAACGACCTGGATGAGGGTATAGAATGTACCCTCAGCAAGTTTGCTGATGACACTAAGCTGGGAGGAGTGGCTGACACACCAGAAGGCTGTGCTGCCATTCAGAGAGACTTAGATAGGCTGGAGAGTTGGGCGGGGAGAAACATGATGAAATTCAACAAGGGGAAGTGCAGAGTTTTACATTTGGGGAAGAACAACACCATGTCCCAGTCCAGATTGGGGGCTGAGCTGCTGGAGAGCAGTGTAGGTGAAAGAACTTAATTTTTGAAATTATCCTCTCAAGCTCTGCATATTCTCTTTTGCTTGGAATCTAGTATGTGCCAAAAATTGTGCAGTTTAATATCTTGCGTCTAGTGTCTCATAAAATATTTTTCTTTATATTAATAACCCAGAAGTTGTAGGAAAGCTTTCAGACGGTATTTGTACTTAGAGAATAATGGTACTAGAGGAGTATTTGGCTGCAGTGTTATATTACTTATCATATGAGCAATATATAACCTTGCATACTGGGAACTGACATTCTGTGGAAAACATCTGTAAAATTTTTTGAAGATGACACATCTTAGGTAGCATAGACTTGAGTGATGGAAAAGTTTCAATTTCTAGATTGTTAATGAAAAAGCTAACTAGGATATTTTTGGTGCAAATGTAATAATAAAAAGTTAGCAAAATACTTGGACTTTGTTATCATATGCAAATAGAACTAAGCGGTATTGTATTGACAGCATATTTTTCTGTTTATGTCATTTAAAGGTTATGTAAACATCATGTATGTTTCAGTACTTTTTATCCATCAGTGTAATACTTCTGCTGAGAAATGTTCCATTTAATAGAATATTATGCATTAGGATTTAAGTAAAGGAGAGAAGTGATCCAATGAGATCTTGCGCAGTAATCGGCTTGTGTGAAATCCATCTAAATGAAACATTTTGAAATATGGACATTATGTGCAAGATGACTAAATAAGTATGGTGGCTGCCTATCTGCTTGAAATTCGTATAAATTTTATATCCAATTAAAAATCTAGTATTTTGCTTACTCCCACATTAGATATTAAACAAACAGTTTCAGTAAGTGATTAGAAGTAAAAGTAATTTGCAGTGTTTGCAGCTGCTTCGTTTTTCCCTATGTTCATGTGGAATTGGAGGATAACTTGCTGTACAACTTCAAAGGGAAAGTTGATTATTTTGTGCATTCTTTTAATTAACTATGGAGATGCAGAGCTGTCTGCTCAATGACATGCAAGCCTGGCTTTGGAACCAAAACCTTTAATTCTCACAGATTTTAGTGCAGTGCTATAGTACTTGCTCTTACAGTAATAGGTATTTATGTGATTACATGGGCACCTGGGTCTTGATTTTATATTTATTCATTTATTTATTTTAAAAGCTATTATATATTTGTTGAAGCGTCTTTAACAATACAATTCTGTTCTTAAAGATTAAATTGTTCATGAAACTAAATGGGTGTGTTTATTTATCTGCTTGAGGCAACTACAGATTCATGCAATGTACCTTTACTGTCTATCTACTGTTTCAACAAACGATCAGAAAACTTTGATTTTAGTTTATGAAGTAGTACAATGCTTCTGATATTTCTGAACGTATCGTGTTGCATAAGACTTTGTGAGATATAAAATGAGCTCTAGTTTTCGGTTTTTTTCCAGTTTGTTGTTTTTTTTATCCTATGACTTTGATAGTCCATTACACTTGGGACAATAGGCTATTGTGCAGTTTTTGCCCTTGGAGGAACTAATTTCATTTTAGCTTTACATCTAGAAATGTTGCCAGCTTTGTTTCCTTATTTTAGCTCTCTAGTTCTGCAGCCTTGGAAGGGAAAGGGCAATTAAAATTTACTTCTGGAAGATGGAGTCCACATCACAACTGTACACAGATTGCAACAGCCAATGATACCACTCTTCGAGGGTGGGATACACGAAGCATGAGGTAATGAGAAATTGCAGTCTTGTTCTCTAAAAAAGACAATCTCCTTTGAAGATGTTTTTTTCATTACTCCTAACATAATTTTTGATTTTATTTTTTTTAAAGGTCATAAATGTGACAACACTATCACTTATAAAAGGAATGGTTGGGCTGGCATAGCTGATATATTCGCAGTTTGGTAACGAGGTTTCTCGGCTTTTTCCCCTCAGCTTGAATTCAAACTTGTATATTGAGTTTTTCTGAACATATATACTAGTCTCAAGACTATTTGTTCAATACATAGGCATTGCTTTAATGAAGCTCTTCTTTAATTCAACCTGCAAATGATTTTAAATCAGTCCCGACTATGCCGTGAACTGCCTTCACAGCATACTATTTAAAGGTGACTTTAATCTCTGAAGGTAATTCACAGGGTAAGTTCACTCTTCACTTTCCTGATTTTAGCGAAGATGATACTGTACTGTATCAAAGGTTGTAATATGCTAGGTATAGGAAACTCTTCAATCTATCAAAACCATAACCAAATCAATTAAGGTTTTGAATATACCTAATAACGTGTTTCCCCCCTGCTCAGCTGTGATTTTGATAAGCAAAGGAGTGCTGTTGTGCACATCTGTTGCCATGACTACTAAAGCCTGTGCAAGCTTTTTTAAGATACGCTTTATCCCCTTAGCACATAGTAATTTATCACTAAACCTGGAAGACGGATGTCTTGTAATAACTTTTGTTGCCTTAAAGGGGGATGACTTTAAATTTAGTTCTATGGTTCCTGCCAGCTCACGGGTGTAGCAATAAATCCCTGTGTTTACCAGTCTTGTGGGGTTTTTTTTATCAAAAAGGTTCATCTACTTTAATAAACAAAAGCTAAAAATACAGATATAATAATTAGCTCACTTCCTGCATGCTTGTCATCAGGTTTGAAAGTCCTATTCTTTGTCTTGTAAAAGAATAATGGTCAGAATAATAGTTAAGTTGGGCTACATGTTTTCATGTTAAGTGCCACTGAATGTACAGTGGAATTTATTTTTAAACCCTTACACGCATCTCCATGAGCAATGCAAGAAGAGCAAGAAAGAAGTGAAAGTGTAGTAATAGAGGAAAGAAGTGTTTTATTGCTGCAAGCATACTTGGGATTTAAATTTTTTCCCATAAGGATGTTTCAAGAAATCAAGAGGAAATGTTGAATTTGGATCCCAGAATATGTAGTAGAAAGGCATACTTAAATGATAACCTTAACCTCTCAATCTCTGAGCCAAGTGCTGAAGTTGGGTATCTAGGGGATATCCTCTATCCTGAGTAACTGCCATAGCTGTCAAGATAGTGCCTAGTATAGGCCTGGTATACTTTGAATCTCTTCTTATGGAGCTACTTTATTTAACATTAGTAGTCAAGTATTAACAGCAATAGACTTCTCTCTTTGGTCTTCAGAGGAGAACATGTATAGAGTGCAGGAAATAGAAAGCTTTGGTAAGTCTATGTATTCTGAAGAGAAGCATTTTTAATTTAAAAAAAGAAAAAGTTACAAAGTGTTACAAGTCCTGCGAAGATGGTAGGAACTCTCAAATCCAAGCAGAGCTTTAGTAGATGGTGGCTTTGAGAATGGACATGGGCAGAGGTACAGCCTCTTTAGAAAACAGGTAATACAATAGCAGAAACAAACAAAAAACAACTCTAAGAGGCAACATACAGTAAGAAACTGATAGAACATGATATTTTGAATAAGGATGTGAGATTGTTAGCAGTACTACAAATGTTTTCTGAAGTGGTCCACATGCACGAGTATGAGGAATTTAAGGGCCACAGGGAAATTAGTGATAAAAGCCAGAGCTCAAAAAGGTAAGTTCAAAATAGAGCAATAATAAGAAGCTGTTGTTCATAAATATTGCTTCCCTTGCATCTCAGTTTTTCATACAGGGAGAACAAGATGACATAAATACAGAATAAATACTCAAGGGTGGAGAAAATCTTCTGTGAAAACATTGTGGTTTAGTAGCAGGCATTTCATAACAGTTGTTAGAGAGCTGTGCTAGAATAATCTGGAACTGCAGTTTTCCTTTAGGTCTAGATGTTCCAAATGCAAAAAGAGAAGAGCAATGCTTTAATGCAAGCTGAGAAATCTATACAAGTCATTAATAACAGCTGGGATTTCCCAAAAAACTGCACTAGCAATGGGAACTCTAGGTCTGCAGGTGCTAAGGGGATTATGCAAGTTTCCAGGGAAACAGATTCCTGTCAGTGGAGTGCAGTTAGCTTTTTATAGACCATTTAATTTTTTTAATGTGTCTTACAGACAGATATATTGCATAGAAAATGCACACGGACAGCTGGTACGAGACCTAGACTTTAATCCCAATAAACAATACTACCTGGCTAGCTGTGGAGATGACTGCAAGGTGAAATTCTGGGACACAAGAAATGTCACTGAACCAGTGAAGACACTAGAGGAGCATTCCCACTGGTAAAACAAATTGTCTGCATGCTGTTTTGTGGGTGGATGTCTTATCTAATTTATTCAGCTAATTATTTTACTGTTGAGGAACAATGCAAACTAACTATGCTTGTGCAGTGGTGAATAGTCATTTTTCTGCACGGAGGGAAGGTTTCAACATGCAAATGTTCCTTGTGTGATTGTAAATTAAGAATTTAGACAATGTTAGTCTAATTGGCAAGAAACTGTTGTTAACATTGTTGGGAGATTGGATGCACCTTTGAGAAGCAAAGCACAGAGCCTGGCTTGTAGGGGCCAGCTGGGACACAGATGTGCCTTCCCAAATTGAGCCTGATCTGCTGCACCTGACATGCAGAAAAGCCCTTGAGCTCTTTTAGTTACAGCAGCTGCCATCTATCCTGTTATCGAACAGCAAAAATGCTCAGTAATTCAGCCCCACATTTTTTCATGCTCTTTGTGGCCCCAAAGCCAGAATGTGCAAGCAAGTAGTTCTTAGAGATAATATTTAGAGCCTGTATCTACCACTCTGGCCTGTGGCTGGAGCAAGGAGAGAATCTTGTCTAATGTTTGCAGACTTCAGTGATTAAGAAAGGATGAGCAGTTAATATTTTTAAAAATGTGGGTTGGAGTAGTTCTTGCAAAAGAAATCTGGACCCTGAAGCTACTTTGAGAGAAATGAAGATGTGAATTAACAGAAGCAGCATTTATGCTTTTTTCCAGAAGATTAAAAGGAAAAGAATAAAACAAGAACCATGAGACATTTTGGTATTAACTCGGAATGTAGAATGTAAAAATTGAAGAGAAATATAATCCTGCTTTTGGTTTAGGGTCTATTTTAAACATCACTGTAAGAATGTTGTGAGATTTTTGTTTAACAGGTTATTTCTAATCCTTGTTTTGCTTTGGGGAAATTTTTATATTTAGAACTTAAGTATTTCTCTGACTTACTAAATAATGAATTGGCATGTACCCTCAAGGAATGTTCTACTGAAAGGTGTGTTTTATTACTTTGATTTTTTGGCTTTTTTTTTTTCAAAACTTATTTGTCGAATTTTAAAGACACCTCATAGAAAACGGATAACACGGAAGCTTAAAAGCCAAATGGAGACAGCAAAATAGTCTTTGGAATGAGGCATGTAATTTCTTTGCATACTTAAAACATTTAAGTCAGAGATGAATTGTTAGTGCTGTTTTTTACTATTAAAAAAATAAAAATTAACATGGGTGTACCACCTGCCAAGAATAGCCTTTTTCTGATTTCATTTTTTAGGGTCTGGAATGTCAGATACAACCATTCTCACGATCAGCTGATCCTTACAGGAAGTAGTGATAGCAGAGTTATCCTATCTAATATGGTATCCATTTCCTCTGAACCATTTGGGCATATGGTAGATGATGACGAACTAAGTGACCAAGAGGACCAGCATCCAGAAGAGAAGTATGAAGTTTCCTGAGTTTTATGCAAATACTTACAGGTTTTCTTTTCGTTGCAATGGTTAACATACTATTTTTTTTGCGGACTAGGATTTTTCTATACAGGCCTTTCAGGTAAGTAGTTCTAATTCTTACCAAACTCTTCTTCACGTGGAATCTGCTTTTTAAATCTGACTGGCACGGTCACTGTATGTTCACTGGTAAGAAGGGGATGGTGATGCTGAGGACCAGTCCTAAAGTCCACTGGATCAGAGAAAATACTGACTTTAAGGGAGCTTTGAATTCAGGCAATCATGTACAATAGCCTGGGATAAGTGAGAGTTGAAAATCTGCTTTTTTCATTTTCTGCATTAGAACACATTTGTATGTGTTCTAACCTTTAGGAAATGTTACAAGTCTAATGGCAAGCTTCTGGACAAACAGAAGAAAGGAAGTATAAATACATGAATTTTTGTAAATTTTGCTCAATATTGCTGACTGCTCTAGAAACCAAGAACTCATTAGACTTGCTTCAAGCAAATCAGAAGTTTGGTTTTGACTCCCTTGGTAGAGAACAATGCATGTTATTGCAAGCATTTGTAAACACTGTTCCCACTTGGGTGTGTGAGAAGTCATGTATTTTGCATGCTTTTTTGTTGTGCAATATATGATGCTTGATTTCCTCTCTGCACTTCAGGAAAATGTATATACATAGGGCATTTTGTAGATATGTGGATTGGAGGCTTTCTCATTTTTCAATGAGCTTACATGGTGATCTTCAGCAAACTCTTCCTTCACAAAATGAAGATGATGATACTGAAACTCATGTAAAATATTTTGAGGCTAACAGGCATTAGTCTATATTTCTATATTCTTTGCAACTGAGAATATCCATGTTCTACATGTCTGCACTGAGCAGTTGTTTTGTAATGTTTGATAATTTCTTTTAATAAGCAAAGGTCTCTGCAATGAAATAGGCAGATTACCTCCTGAACTAGAAGAGTAGTGAGATCGAATGAGGAACAAAGAAATTAGAAAAACAATCTGCCATACCTAGCAGTGTTTGCTAGGTATTTCTGTTAAAATTCTAAATAAAGCTTAGTTTACTTCTCTAGTTGCATTTTTAAGGTTGCTATTGCACCTTTATCTTATTAATAATGGTTTTGACATTTTGGCTTCACATAAAGGGCTTGGAAACCTGTATTTTTTAATATTAAAAAAAGAAAGCTATCCCATATTTGCAAATGATTCATTTTAAGTGTACAGAATGTCTCTAGACATAATAGGTGGTGTAAATGTCTGGAAAATCAAAGTATCAAATTAAGTACCTAGAAACTTACATCAATGGTGCATACTTACTTTCCAGAACATAACTAAACTGCAGTATTTTAAATACTATGTGCCTTTTGCTGCCTTTCCATTGGCTGGGGATTGTGATTTATTTTATTCTGGATGGAAGATAAACAACATTAATGGGAGTGAGAGAGTAGAGTTTTCTGTGTGTATATGGTGGGACTGGATTAATATAAAGAAATTTGAAAGTAAACTGTTCTGGCAGATCTTGCATAGCAGGTTATCTGGAGTTCTGAATTTCTGTTGATTGTAGATAGTGTAGGTTGCCTCATTAAAGCATAAGTAATAGTTTCTAGAATAATAGGAATTTTCATAACCAAGGCTATGCACAGCAATATAACAAATATAATGTGTATTTTCTTTTGGCTATGGCATGGGTGTAAACCAGATCATTAATTATTTGTGTAGTAATGATGTAGAGCCTTTGCCTGTTCCCAGAGGCTTCAAGAGTATCAATACTTTTCCAACGCAATTTGCTTTTTAAATGTGCTTTTCAGCTGCTAATCTGTTCTCTATAAAATCTGGGGAAGCACATTAATTTTTGTAGCACTTGCTGTGTGGGGTTTTTTTCCTCCCTTCTTGCTATGAGTTGAACTGGATGGATGTTTTCGTGGTGCTCACCAGCTTTGAACTGTTGCCAGATGAGTGTCTCTTTAGCTCTGAACGCACCAATGAAGCAGGATTTAACATCCATTGAGAATAGTTCTTGTTAGTCAACCACTAGTGCCAAGTATTTAGGTTTTAGTACCTATTTCCCTCCTGGAGAGCTCTTCAAAGTGTCTGTTGCACCGTTCTCTGGTTACTGTACTCTGCTATAAAATGTGGCAGTTTCCACTGATGGTGTGGTCAAGTCTGAGTGTGTATTTTTTTTTGCTTTAATATATGCTAAACTTTCAAGGAAGTGTTATGTTCTTTGGGTTAATTTTTATCCTGTCTTGGAGGGCATCTGCTTTGTTATTAAATAGCACCCAAAAGTTAAAAAAAAAAAAAAGGTCTTTAGAATGTATCTTGAAATACATCAGGAAGAGCAGTTGATTGTACAACTTGTATCTGCAGTCAGTCACCTTCAGACTTGAGTGGCCAAATCTCTCTCAAAAGTAGGTTGAAATATCAGCTAGAAAGAAGCAAAAAGTCCTCTTAGGCTACCTGTTTCTCATGTTGTAAAAAAAGTAACTTGTAAAAGTATTTCTTGGATTAAATATAAAAATTAAAAGTATTTACCAGTTGTATCTTCAATACTTTTTTCCTACTTGGCAAAAATCCCCATATTTTAATGATGACTTGTAATACTATTCTAAGGTAAGATTTCTGAGACTTATGTTAATTTTTAATACATTTTTGAGTAAGCTTCCTAGTTTTTATTATATTTCTTGGCTGGAGGCAATTCCAAGTAATCTGTCAATTTCACCATTCGTTGTTCAACCAGGTAGAACTATGTATGAGTAAACCTACTTGTTTATTCTTGCCAGATTTTTTGTAGTAAATGCCTAGTTTTTAAGGTTCACAACTGAAAAAGAAATATTTGGAGATTGTTTGTTTGGTTTGGTTGTTTTGTTTGGGGTTTTTTTGGTGTTGTTTTTTTGGGGGGGTGTGTTTTTTTAAGGAAAGAGTACAGATTCACTGAGTAATGAATAGACAACAAACCAGAGGTTTCTGTATTCTGTTCATACTAAGGAATTATTTTTTGAGCTTTCTCCTTTGGGTATTTATCCATGTATGTGTTGACATCTTAGGAGTATATATGCTTCTGTCTCGGAGACCAGAACACACTTGCATAAGAAATGTAACTAGGACTATTTCATGGGGATCTGTCTCTTGTTTTAGTCGGGTGACCTTAACTGCTGATTCAGATCAGAGCAACTAGTTTGCTCTCTTCCCTACTTTTTTACTGCTATCATGGTTGTTTCATCAATCATACAAATGCAAGAGCAGCCTCCCTGTATCTTATCAAAGGTCTCCCTAGCCAGTATCATGTTTCTGATAGTGGCCAAGAGGAAAGATTATGAAAACAGGAAAAATATTATCTTCCTTTGGGTATGTATCTAGCCCCTGACTATTTGCAACTCAGGGACCTTTACTGCCTTCTGAACAATCTCTAGAGACTTCAAATTCTTCCCTTTAGTATTTTCTTTTGCCATCAGCCATATTCTTGAGTTTATTATTCTCACAACTATGTTTTTGTTTGTTCAAAAACATGCTAGCTATGCATGCACTGTCTTTGTGAAATGTGTCTAGGCAAAATATGCCAACTGCCTTTGTTTTCTTACACCAAATAAGGAAAGGCTTCAGCACGTTCTGTTTGGGAAGTCCAAAGCCTCTGTTGAAAGCAGGTAGTCTAAAAAGAGAATTGAGCTGTCCACACAGAAGGAGGTACAGGAATGTGTCCAGGGGAGAGCTATGGTGTATTCTGGTCAAGTTCCTAGTCTGAATAACTTAATGCATAGTTCAAATATGGCAAAAAAAATTAGTTGGGAAATGAACTCCTAGTTTAATGTCTAGCACCTTGATCCAAATGTAGAAAAAAGCATACAAAACGAAAATAGAGCAGAGGTGCGCATTTGGGGTGCATTTAGATTTAATCCCCCAAACAAAGATGGTGTGCCTGGATAAGAACATAGGGAGTGCTTTGAATACCTCACTTGGAACACAACCTGTTGGGGCCCTGGCTGTGCTGAAAGATTAGGAGAAACTTTAGGTAGAAACAACAGGCAGCTGGAGGAACAGTGAAGGTTGTTCCTGTGGGAACTAGTGAAGCTCTGGTATGTGTAGTAATCAGGTAGTAAGGTAAACAGGACAGGGAGTCAGATAAAGGGCTTAAAGTAGGGACCAATCAAAAGGGGAATGGGGATGCGTGAACAATGTATATTAACCAATTAAGAGCTTTACTTTGCTGCATGGACAGCGTGCACACTGTCCTGAGACTATATAATCTGCACGCAGCTAAATAAACTTGTACTGAACCTACATCATATTGGTGTGCAGTATTCATTCCCAGCTCGCCACAGGATATAGACCACGGCAACAACTTTTTAAAAATAGCATCATTCCACATTTATGTATGCAAACAATTAAGACAGGCTTCTCCTTGGTCTCTGTTTCTTTAATACTTTTGCACTCTGGTGTTGCAATTATTTCCTCCCTGCAACGCTGAATTTGCCTTAATTCTCAAGCTCCAGAAGCTGTCATTTGCCTATTAAGACATCTGCACTCAGAACTGTCTTCCTCCAAAGGGAGCTGGTGACTGTCTTATATTCTTTGTTCATTCTTTGGTCATCCAAAATCCTTATGTTAGTGAATGAGTCTATACTTGGCTGTATTAACCAGTCATTTTAGTTCTGCATAACTATTTCTAACCGTAAACAAAAAGTTCCAGGCTCTTGCAGCTTAGTGTTACCATTTTTTTCTCAACAATCAGGATTCTTTTGCTTTAGCTATTGCAACATATTTGTTTGCCTTACTGGTTTGAATTTTAAACTCTGTAGGCCTGATGATACACAGCATCAGAATACCATATGCAGGAGCACCAACAACAAGGTAGATGCTGCATCTACAGCAGTGTTTTCAATCTTTCTGATTGCTATGAACAGAAGGCTCAACTGATAATGAAGAAATTGCTTTTTTAAGAGAAACAGCTTTTTCTGTGTCCATACCAATGAGAAGATTTATATAGTC